TTTGGCAGTGTTCGGAAGCTACGACTAGGAGGGATTACAGGCATCCTTTTACAAACACTAAAATATGAATTTATGCATAAACTTATTTTTTATTCTAAATATTATTGTAACAAATTAATTTTAGTAATAAAATTTGAAATATTTGTCTTTAACTGTTTTTATTTTAATATCAATCACATTACTAGAAATAAAGATACAAGCTTTGAAATTGCTGGATTGCTTTTTAATTAATTTTATTACTAAAGTTACAAATAATGTATAGATATAAGTAAACTAAACAATAAAATCTAGATTTATAAGTTGTGCTAGTTACAGGTCTAATTGACTCCCCCCCCCCCCCCCCCCCAAAGTGAAATGGATATACAAATGTTTGTTATACTGTTGGTTATCGCAGTTATATCCAGAGCTTTAAATAATTATCTTTTCCATCAAAGTACAAATAGCCTGGTTGAATTACTTTAGGACATAATTGAAATTATGAATTATTTTTTTCTACTTTGTTATTACAATACAATCTGTGATAATTTCACTTCACAAAATTGCCACTATATGTTCTTTAAGGCTAAATTCACATTCATACAGTCTAGATCTATCTATCTATATCAAACAAATTTTGGATGTGTGTATTTACAGCCCACACACACTACGAGATATCATGATGCTATAATACTCAATTAAAACAAGGAGAAACATAGAAGGTTTTAGTAACCTGATGCAACAATCACAAATTTATAAATAGTGAATTACACAATGTACGATTCATAAATAGTTACGTAAACAAACTTACAATAAACTACTGTTTCTAAAAATAACTAAATTTAACACTCGCACTATATAAGCTATCTATATCATAACACCCGCACTGAACTTAGGTTGAAACAGCCTTGTATGTCTAACACTTTTACTTGTGTATTTTGCCTACACCACAACTGCACATTTGAATCTTTCTTCTCATATAACTATTACAAAAAATTAGTGTATGTTTCAACTTTGATCATTTATTTGATCTTTAAAACACAACTAAATAAGAATGAATTAGAACATATAAAATACTCTGTTTATTTCATCAGTGTAATTTGAACATGAGTAAGCTGTATATAGTAACGTAGCTGATAAATCCAGACAAACCTTCATATTAAGACCATTGGAAGCCCTTTCAAGCTTTTATATTTATATATAACAAATAATATTCTAATAACAACAAATTTTTGTATTAATAAATGTCACATATAAAACCAATCCTACCATTTCCAGTTCCTTCATAAGTTTTTCAGCATGCTGCGATGCACTAGTAGCCTGCTTCATGAAGGCTTCATTCTGAGCTAACAAGAGAGCCTGACCAGAAATGAGGATAAGCAGACGTCGGATAATCCTGGAAGAAGATACAAACATACAGTTGAAACTTGTCCAATTAAACAATGCTTTGAATTAAGTAATGAGAATGGAACAAATAATGTTAAAATATTTAGAGTTACTGCTTCTCTAAACTTCTGTGTACCTGTACAGGGCTTTCACCACTGATTGTGTCAGTGACAAAACCCATGCAATCTGATTCATTGTTTTGAAAGAAATAAATCAGTACTGATATGCACAGTTTTTCAAGGTCCATTGTGTACAACTTCAGAGTGCATTGAATCAAACAAGGCAAAGAAAATAAATATATTCCCTTTTGTATAGGTTACTGTTGCTATCATTGAAACTGATAAGGAAGTTGTTCTTTGACTGTCTGACTTATCCTTCTATCAGATAGCAGACGCCTTCTGTTACCCTCATATAATTTGAAATGAAAAGCCTTAGAATTAAAAATAAATATGTAATGGCAGGGACTCTGTAAGAACCTGAGATAGGTCAAGTGAAGAGCAGCCACAGTTTGACTTGTTAGATGCAATAATGGCAGAAAAAGACTTGAAAGCATCTCAACTAAGGTTAAATCACAACCATGGTTTAGCTTGTACAAAGTACTGATATAAATATCAGCAAAGGTGTATGGTCTTGTATGGAAACTGATAAGGGCAAAATTGTGGGGAGGAATTTTGGAAATCCTTCACAATTAAACACTGAGAAAATTACAGGAGTATAGAAACAAGGCATATGTATATGTGTGTGTGTGTATGTATATATATATATATACACACACTGATCAGGTTGAATCGCATCCTAAATGCTATTGCATTGTACAACTTATTTGCATTTCTTTTTTTATTTTCTACAATAATGCATTGTACTAATGATAAATTGATAATAATTACAATTACTCACCGCATTATAAATAATTGGTTTTTATATATCAGAAAAAATAAATAAGTTGTAGAGAACACACTGTACACAAAGAGAGGATAAAACCACAGAAGTCGAGTCATGTACATCAAGTAATACAGTATAGTTATTACCGAGTCCAAACATAACATATTTGTTTATACTTACAGGAACAAGAAAAGAGAAAACCCAGAGATGTAAAAGTTCCTTTCAGCTCGAAACATTCGGACACTATGCTGTAATTCTGCATCTAAGTGCCCATGCTCAGTTTCCAACTTTCTGCCTTCAGCATGTTTCCTTATCTCTCGAATAGAGTCTGCAAATGAAACCAAAACCTACAGAATCAACATATGAATTGTAAAGTGTCTGTTCTTGTAACAAAATCACATTTCATTAATATAAGCAGAATACACCAACTATTTTACCAAACAAGCTATAGTTAAAAAATACATGACAAAAAGGTCATAGTAGTTTCAAGTCATTGTTAAATTGATATTGTTCCAATGCTTTGACTGTAACTAAGGTATCTATTGATTTCTCTATAAATATGTGTTAATAGATATATTTTAAAATAGATGTATTTTGGTATTATAAAATATTTCAGATGAAACCTTAAATGACAATGTTACTTAAGTTCCTTTATATATAACTAACATCTTATATCTACATTCTTTCCAATTCACAGCCCTCAGGGGACTTAGCAGTAAGTCTGAAGGTTTCTAATGCTAAAAATGGGGTTTCGATACCTGTGATGGACACAGCTCAGATAGCCCTTTCTCTAGCTTTTGGCTTAACAAAGAAAAAAATTCTAAGCACTGTTACTGCATAGACTAACACTAGGTTTTTGAGTAAAAAATACAATCTTATTACAATTAAATTGTTTAAATCAACATTTTTTCATCCTTTATAGTCACACCTGCACACTACAATTTTGTTTTGTAGCTAGTTATGTTTAACATAACTATACCAAAACTTCTACACAAAAATCATATCATGTAAACATACAATTTAAGAAAGTTTGTCTAAAATTTTACACAAATCCTTCCAGCATACACCACTGTTAATTATTTACTAATGAGGACATACATTGTTCACATTTTCATCAAATTTCTTTATATTAAGATAGGTTTTTTGATAAGTTCATTTAAAGCTAAGTTGCACTTCTATCAAATTACTTCCATTCTTTTAATCATTCATTAGTCATTATGACTTTTCTTTCTGATCTTGATAAATTACATGTAAAAAAAAAGTTAGTTAAAAAGTTTGTCTAATGTTTTGATAAGAAGGTTAAAGAAAAATGACCTATAAAATCCAGATAATTATAAAAAAAACTATATATTTTAAACATTTCAGGGTTAGTACATACAAAATATGTAAATCCCTCCAGTTTGCTCTACAAGTTATGTCTAATGTGGAATCTATATGCGTAAAACCGGTCACATTATTTTCTTTGTTGGAAAATTGAAAAAAGTACTTTTTTGTATTAAGGGTACATAAGACCATTAAAAAAAAGTATATACAAAATATGAAATTAAGTAAACTAGAAAATATTACATGAAAGTGGTGGTGTATTTTATGTTTCTTTTTGTGAGCTCAAAGCTACACAACAGGCTATTTGTGCTCTTGTTCAGCAATGGGAGCCAAATCCTAGATTTTAGCATAAACTTACTGCTGACCTGCCAGTGGACAATGCAAAAGGGAACGTGTCAAACAAATTACAATGTGTATAAAAGAGATAACAATTTTCAAGGAAAAATGCAAACATAAAAAATTCTAGTTTTTAACATTAACGAAAGAGTATTATGTCGCGTGAAAAGCTAAATAGAAATAGAACTTTTATTCCTTCAGAGTAAACATAATCCAAAAGGTGGGGTTTATTTTGAAAGGAGACGTCATGATCTGTTAGATGGGGGTGATTTGGATTGAATAATCTGATATTTATTTAAGTTTATAATAAAAATTGATTGATATGAAGTT